AATTTTAGTATGAAATGACTAATCGATTATGTCCAGAAGTACTTGGTGTTGTTAGACAAAATTGATATTATATTTAAAGATTTTTATTTTTAATTGAAAGATTAAAAAAAATTATAATATCGAAAATAATTGTTTTAAATTCATTTGTAAATTTTTAGATGTACTAAATGAATTAATCATTGTATAACATAATTTTCCATTTACTCTATTATCGATAAATTAAATAAATATCAATAAATTGAGTAAAAAAATATATCTTCATAAATATGTCCTTTTTTTTTCAATATTTTCATATGTACTCAATTAATAATAATATTTATACATTCTGATCAAAATTTCTAATGCATCATTGAGCTTACATCCTACATAAATTTTCAATAGAAAAAAAAAAAGAAACTTCAGTTTTTTTAGCAGGAAATGTAAGTAACAAAGTTGAGCAGAAGATTTCTCAAACATAAGGCGACTAAACTTATCTATTCAAAAATTTTTTATAGATTTTCGTATATTTCCTATTGACCAAAATCAAGCACTTTTGCTGCAAAAATGATGAAAAAAGGGCCTTATTGGCTGTTATCATATTTCGAACATTACTTTATCATTTAAAAAACTGGAAATAATAGTGATATTATCGAAGATTGAGCTACAGTTTAACATCAATAGATCACCTTCTATTGCTATAAAAAATGTACTTTTTTAAGAAGCTCAAAAAAAATTAATGAGTGCATTACCGTACTGTTTTGGTAATAACTCTTTGCAGGAACAAGCTTCCAAAAAACACATGGTCTGCTGTCTTAACTTCAAACGCAAATAAAAGCATTTTGTTTCGAGAGAGAAAATTTTTAGGAATATGAGCTTTTTTGAATGGCTCTAATGGAAAGAGTCCTTTTGAATGAGTGCATTACCACGATTTCTATCCATCTAGAATCGTCGTAGTTCGACTACGTGAAATGAAAATTTTAGTGAAACTATAGGGTGTCCGGAAAGTCCTTAGAGTTACAAAAATTTGGATATCTCCATTATGATTGGACTGAACGAGCTCATTTTTCTAACAAAGATTGAGGCATGTTCACACTCCAAATTCATATGGACAAGGGTATTGAGAATCTTTGTTAAGTATCACTATTGACCTCAACAAGAAAATTTTACTGTTTCACAGTTAGGAAAACAAACATTACACAGGATAGGGCAAAAGACACTTTATTGAAAAGACAATTGACTCTCTTCATTATAGCTTGAGCGAACCAACTGATATTTTTACCCAGGATAGAGGCATATCCACACTCCAAATCCATACTGACAAAGTTAGTGAGAACCTTTGTTAAGTATATGGTTTTTCTTCCTCTCTGTGGAACAGTAAAATTTTCTTGTTAAGATCAATAGTGATACTTAACAAAGATTCTCAATACTCTTGTCCATATGGATTTGGAGTGTGAACGTGCCTCAATCTTTGTTAAAAAAATGAGCTCGTTTGGTTGAGCCGTAAAGGAGATATGAAAATTTTCCTAACTCTAAGGACTTTCCGGACACCCTATAGAACTTTCATATATATTGTTGCAGTGCAAGTTATCGAGTTATAACAATCAGAAGGTCAAAAATAGATGAGTGCGTTACCTGTGGACAGACTATACAGTGGGGGTCAAAAGTCTGGTCCCACTTTTTTGTTTTGAGTCGTGTATTAAAACCACACAAGATTAATTTAATTCAATTATATGTTTGGATAGCAGAGATCGAGTACTATATATATACACCTGTTCAATTCGAAAATCTCTTGAATATAAAATATAATAAGAAAAACAAACTTCAGTACTAAGAAAAAACTTACATAAAAAACTACAAAAATGATAATAAAAATGTTTGGAACACTTTTTGTTGTGCAATAGGAATTTCTTCATACGGCTTTTATAGAGCTTTCGACGGCGCATCTTTTGAAAACAAAATCACGACATTATCGTTTTCTTAAGCCGAGATATATGCAAAATATAAAAGTCTTCCAAACATTTTTATTACGTTAAATATGGTGAAAAGTAGAACTATCATGTATTTTCTTTTCATTTTGAGTCTGAAAGAAACCATCAAAAGAAGTCAATGGGGTCTTGTTCTTACAGTTTTTGTAGAGTTATTCATGGTGCATCTTTTGAAAGAAAAACTAAGATTCTATCATTTGTCTATGCAGAGATATTCGCAAAACAAGCTATGCTGCAAACATTTTGGAACATCCGATATTTAATACTTTGGCTAGAGTACCATCATTTCTCAATGAAATTCAAAATACTTTTATGTCAAAATGATCAGCGAAAAAAGCTCTACAAAGTTTGATAAAATGAAAAGTTTTCTGAATACTTTGTGGTTGACTATTCATGGAAGTATCCTATAACAACAATATCATTTTGTAGTTTTTTATGTGAGTTTTTTCTTAGTACTGAAGTTTGTTTTTCTTATTATATTTTATATTCAAGAGATTTTCGAATTGAACAGGTGTATATATATATAGTACTCGATCTCTGCTATCCAAACATATAATTGAATTAAATTAATCTTGTGTAGTTTTAATACACGACTCAAAACAAAAAAGTGGGACCAGACTTTTGACCCCCACTGTACATAATCATGACTAATAATAAAGTATGACAACATTGTTTATTTTTTCTAAATATTAATATTATTCTTCTTGTCTGTTTTTTCGACATATATTGTATTAAAACAGAAACATATTTCGTATTGTAATATACATGACTTCATTGCCATCGTACAGAGCTCGCGTTGTTGCTTACGATCAGAGTTTATCGAACTCTATTTATTATCAAAATATCAGACAAAAAGATTGAAGTTGATGAACTTGTTTATCCAGTAGCGGAACTTCTTGTGGCTACTGTATAAAATATTTCCCAACCGGTAAAGATCGACCGGATCGAACTTCTCACAATTCTGGTATGATTATAGTTGTCGTTTTTAGATCTGTTGGTTCAATTGCTTCCGTTTAGATTTTATTTTCCGATCTTTCAAAAATTCCAGACATATACAGGATGTTCCAAAAGTCGTGATCACTGAAGAAATGCGTATAAATCTCTTATTAATAAAGCTTTATCTACTAAGTTTTTTTTTTCATAAAGACAAGGTTCATAGATATTGTTCAAAAGTATTGCCCGTGACATTAATACAAAAAATTTCGACTTGTTACAGTTTCCAAAAAAGACTCATGTGGAATTCCTTTGTTTTTTATTGCAATTTCTTTGGATATTCTAGTCCTTAAATCATCTAAATCTTGTACTGGTATTGTGTAGACATTTGTTTTAAGATATTCCCATAGAAAACAATTCAATAGTGTTAAATCTGATAATTGTGGAGCTCATGATCTTAGCCCGTTTTTTTCAATCTACATACCACCCAAGATTCTGTTTAGCTAGGAATAGACAGCTTGTGAAAAAGATGTGATTTACTCTATCTTTCCAATAAGTGATATTTATTGTCATTGGTTCTTTCAAAAAGCTGCCTTTTCACTCAAACTAATCGAAACTAGCAAAGATCTGATACACGTTTCAAAATATCTTTACATAGAACGTATCTGTCAACATCATTGGAGTTCTTTCTATGGAAATATCGTAAAACAAATGCCTACACAATACCAGTACAAGATTTAGATGATTTAAGGACTAGAATATCCAAAGAAATTGAAACAAAGAAACTCCACATGAGTTCTTTTTTTGGAAACTATAAAAAGTCTAAATTTTTGTATCGATGTCAAAAACAATACTTTTCAAAAATATTTATGAACTTTGTCTTTATGAAAAAAAAACTTACTAGATAAAGCTTTATTAATAAGAGAGTTATACGCATTTCTTAAGTGATCATGACTTTTGGGACACACTGTACATTATATGGTTAGAAAGACGACGATAAACATATATGTATCAATTGTTATGTCCTTTGGTATTCTGCACGTGCATTATTTCCTTCCGATAGCATGCTGATTTTCATTTACAATTAGTTCATTATTCAATCCATTGTACATTCATTTCTATTAGTATGATTATTTGAATCATCTCCTCTCTCTCTCTCTCTCTTAATTCGAAAAGGATATAACACTTCAAATCATCTCTACAAGGAATACAATAAAAAATTGTTCTCAATTTTATAAATACATTCTATAACATGCATTCATTCGATTATCATTAACATATCTTTATATAGCTATATTAAGGAAATACGAGATGTATTTGTTTTAAAATATCATATCTCATAAAAAAAAAAAACTTTTTTTTTGTTTTTGTCTATTTTTTCTTCGCATGTTTTCTCATACTCATTCAGATAAACACAATCATCTTCTTACATCTTATAAAAATAGAAGATGAACATAAAAATAACACTGTAATCACCATTTTATGAATGTTATCTTTTCACAGTAGATCGATCGAATGCAACAATAAACTACATGTGTGTGTGTGTGTTTGTGTCTATTAGCAAAGGATTGTGAATTTTGTACGAATAAAATCACACGACTATGATTAAAGAAAGAAACGATTGGAAGTTTATATCTTTGAACTTATTTATTTAAGAAATTAGTCTATAAGAAACATATGCGTTTTTTTTAATACATATATTGACATGTCTAATTATTTGTCCTATTTCCTTTAGTATAGTTTGCGGTTTATTTCATCTTTTTGAATATGAATAACACAACTAAAAAAAAAAACATCAAATGATATAATTTGAATTAAAATAAAGAAAAAAAAAAAAAAAAACAATTCTCAACATTGTCTACTAAAGTCATTAAAAATGAATTTGATGAGTTCAATCTTCTTCCTTCCTTCCTTTGAGAAATTTGATCTTGATTGAAATCATCTGTCTCGTTCATCATGTTAGACAAACTTCCGAAATCAAATTTATTTTAATCGAAAACACAAATTTATTTATATTTATATATATATACAAAAAAAAAAACAAACAACAACACTGTTCATTGTGCTTTATATATATAAATGAAATAAGAAAAAAAAAAGTATTTAATCAAGATTTTCAACATCAATTATAGAATTTTGATCATCAACAATTGTTGACAAAGAAGATTGATTTTCTGATAATGAAAAATCTAATGGAAATTCATTATGATGTGTACGAATATGTGAACGAAGATTACATGATAATGAAAATTTTTTAAAACAAAATTGACATTGAAATGGTTTTTGACCAGTATGAATAAGTAAATGATTTTTAAGATTTGTTTGTTTTGAAAAACCTCTTGTACATATTGAACAACGATATGGCCATGTACCATTATGTATATGTGAATGACAACGTAAATCACCTGGTGTTGAAAAACTTTTTGAACATTGTAAACATTTATGAGGTTTATCCTATTTAACAGCAAAATTTTTATCATAACAAAAAAAAAAAAATTTTTTTTCTTTTTTCTTACTTTGCTATGAGTTAATTTATGATAATAAAGATTTGATGATGCAGTAAAACGTTTATTACATATATCACAAATATGTGGTTTTTCACCTGAATGAATACGACGATGTGTATTTAATGATGATGATGTTGAAAATGCTTTTGAACATATATCACATTCATGTGGTTTTTCACCTAAATAAAAAAACATAATTATTTTTTATTAATTTAAAAATCTTTTTTTGTTTTTACCTGTATGAGTACGAATATGTCGTGTTAATAATGATGGACGATCAAATGATTTTTCACATATTTCACATTTCCACATACGACGTTCTTTTTGTTTACTATTTAATGAAATATTTGTTAATAATTGAAATGGTCTTCGATTTGTATATGATGAACTAAGAATTTTATCAATCATAAATGACATTATTATTATTATTTGATGATCTAAGCACTTTTTTTTTTTTTTGTTTAATAGATCAAGTGTGAGTTATGTCAGAATGAACATAATATTACGTAGTCAACAATCTTATATATATATACATATAGGTCAAACACATTTTCTCTTTCTCTCTCTCTCTCTCTCTCTCTCGTTCGTCCGTTCAATTTCTACGTAATCAAGACGAGACATTCTTTACATCATCAATAGATCAATATCGATTCAACCAATCAAATATATATTATATAATCAACCAATAAATTTTCTATATTTTGTTCTTTATGCTTATTTTAATTGCCATAAATTTTGATAGAAGTGTTTTGAGACTATTTCAGGATAGAGGAGAAGAGAAAGGATCGAATGTTCTTTTTTTAAGAATTGGTGAGCAAAAATTCACGTGAAAAAATGGACTTTCAACTTCCAACTTGAATATTCTTCTATGTGTTCATAAAAACATCATCCTGATCAAAAAGTCATTTGACATCTGAAGAGCTTCCTCCCCTACTGATCGAAGTTATAAGCTCAACTATGATTCTCAAAATTCTGATTAAATTATTTTCGTTTTTTCGCCTGTAGAAATGAAATTCTCAATTGATCATTGAGAAATTCGTTTGCCTGACGTGAAATAATTAGATGTTCAATTAAAAATTTCAAGTAGTTTTGTTGATGTTCAACTTGAGCGGTACACATCTTTTCTTTTCGTCTTAAAAGATGTCATTTTACTCATGTCTTTTGATCGACAATGACTATAATTGTCGTCAGCAGGTTACTGTTCATCATTTAATTTTATGTCAATCTTTTAACAAGCGAATAAAAAAACAAAAATATGTCAATGCATAACATAAATTTTTGATTGTTCAAAATCCATTTGATATTGTCTATCTTCTTCTTTTTCACAATTATGAACATGAAAACATTTCTAATTATAATGATAATTTTCATGTGAAAAAAATTTTTCTTTTTTTTTTTTCTTCTTTCGACACACACACAAGGGAGATAACAGATGGACTCAATATGAGGCAATGTGTCAATCGATTGAAAACATACACATATGAGGATGAAAGAACAATAAAGGTGATGGTTAATCTCATCAGACTTGATCGTTCGCACATTCATGTTTTATAGTTCGTCATCACCTCTGTCGATCGATTTAAAACAAAAAAAAAGAAACATCATAAGATAAAGCGGCTATAGGCCAATTAACACACGAAATAGTATATCTTCATGATTCCATTAGGTTTTATTTTGCCAGTGGGTGAAATCCAACAGAGATTAAAATAAGGATAAGTCATTTTTTAGTATAGACACATCTCACTGTGTGAAGAGTATTTTCTTCATTCATCCACTTGATTTCATTTTAAATAGATTAAGGTAATGGAGAGATGAATAATTATTCATATGTATAAGCATAAGAGTTCTATAGTGTTAAGAATAGGTAATTAGACTTTCTTATATATATATATACTTAGGGTTATCCAAAAGTAGTGACGGAGGTTCTTTTTTTTCTTATAGAAAGGTTGAAAAAATTTTCTTTTTTTATGAATAGATAGAGCGTCTTTCACTCTATGTTTCTATGCTATTTAACCACTATTAAACTAATATCATAATAATAAAATTTCGATAAGAGCTATTTTTGCATTCTACTTTATTATCACATAATATGTTGTATTGAAAAAACGAAATATACCAGAAGATGCAGCGTGAAAAGCTCTATAATTTATAAAGTACCGCTTATTTTATAGTTGTACTTTTTGTTCTAAAAATGTACAACACTCTGAGCTGTCAAATTTCAACGTTGCGAAAACAAGATTGTTTTTTTGGTAAAAGATGAATTCCGTTTTTCCTATTTCATCTTTTTATTACTTGATATGTTTTATTTTAAAAAGCAAAATACACTGCAAGATGTAGCGTGAAGAGCTCTACAATTTACAAAGATAAGATAGAAAAAGACCGAATTCGTTTTTTTTACCAAAAAAAGGTCTCGTTTTCGTCACGTCGAAACTTGGTAACTCAGAGTTTTGTCCATTTTTAGAACAAAAAGTACACCTATAAAATAAGCGGTACTTAATAAATTATAGAGCTTTTCACGCTGCATCTTCTGGTATATTTCGTTTTTTTCAATACAACATATTATGTGATAATAAAGTGGAATGCAAAAATACCACACTCATTATGAACTAAATGTTACCAGCTGGTTTTCAACAAAAATAGCTCTTATCGAAATTTTATTATTATGATATTAGTTTAATAGTGGTCAAATAGCATAGAAAGATAGAGCGAAAGACGCTCTATCTATTCATAAAAAAGAAAATTTTTTCAAGCTTTCTATAAGAAAAAAAAGAACCTCCGTCACTACTTTTGGATAACTCTAAGTATATATATATGTGTGTGAGAAATAACATTGATGAAATAAAAAAGAAAAGAAAATTTATTATGATTTATTGTCAGTATTACTACTGAAACACGAACTTTTTGATTTTGTTGGTGGAATTTTTTTAGATGATTTAGGTAATGTACTAGCTGATTGTTTTACAACAATTTGTTTAGCAATATTTATAAATATTTCTGTGACATTATCACCTTGTTTAGCTGATATTTCCATAAATATAAGTCTATTTTCATCAGCATATTCAACTACTGCACGTGTATCAACTTGACGTTTATTTTCTGTTACTAAATCAGCTTTATTTCCTGCTAAACCAATGACCATTTCATTCGTATTTATTTGACGTAATTCTCTTATCCATTTTTTTGCATCAAGAAAAGAATCAAAATTTGTTATATCATAGACAACAAGAGCTGCTTGAGGACCACGATAATACATTTGTGGAAGAGAATGATATCTAAAAAACAAAAGAAAACAAACTTTTTATTCTTTTATATTTATAACAAAAGAAATTTACCGTTCTTGACCAGCTGTATCCTATAGTTCAACTTGAAGTGATGTATTTTGATCAATTTTAAGTGTATGTGTAAAAAAAGCAGCACCAATTGTACTTTCAATAAATTCTTGAAATTGTCCTTTGATAAATCGAAGTGCTAGAGAAGATTTTCCAACACCTGATTCACTTAATAAAACCATTTTGAAACGATCGAGACGTGACATTCTGATAGTACAAAAAACGAAGCAAAAACTTAGTCTATAATAAACCAGGTTCTAATACAAATATTTGCTTCTTCTGTTATTTATCTCTATTTTGTTGTTAGATGAATCATATAGATGAGTTATTTGTTAGATTTTTTCTTCTCATTTACAACACAATAAAGAAAAGATATCGACAAAAACAAAGAATCTTTGTTCTTTTTCTTCATACATAAAAAAAAATAAACAATTTTGATCGTACATAATTATTATCAAAGTTAGATAATATATTTCATTGAAATAGAATATGAAAAAAAAAAAACAAAAATTTCTTGTTCGATATTCGTATAGTTACATGTAATATTTTTTTGTCATTCTTGATTTAATAGACTAGATCGAAGTGAATTCAATCGTATTGAATCATGTCCTGCTTCAATATAATCTTAATAAAAATATAGAATATTTCTTTTGTCTGTTCCTGTAAAAATATAAACCTTGTTCAAGAGCAGCTAAATTTTCTCGAGCTTCATTAAATTCATTTTCTTCCATTCCTTCACTAATATACCAATGAACAAAAGCTCGTTTTGAATACATAAGATCAAATTTATAATTTATTCGAGCCCATGCATCAACTAAAGCTGTTGAATTTGCTAAACTAACAGCAGAATATTTAACTGGTGCAAGATCACCACCAGGAACATATATTGGTGGATTTGTAGCTAAATAATATAAGAAAAGGAGAGAAAATAATTTATAAAATGCACTCTACTGTAACCAATTTTGAATCCATTAGGACACCTATAATTAAAATACGAATGAGATTTATAGAAAAATATCATAATATTAATGAAAAATACTCTAGAATCACACTCAAATACTTTTTTATTGTGCAAGTTAAATAGAATAAATTAGTCTTCGCTGAGTGTAGATATATTATTATTCCAAAACAATTTATTGTCGACTCCAATCGAAGAAGTTTTTAAGACAAAATGTTTGTTCATTTTTGATCTGTTAGAAAATACTTCCGATAAGTTACGACCAGAATTTTGTGTTCTTTTCGAGCATACTAAAAAATTTGCGGAATCTGTTGTTTTGTGATGTGAACACTTTTCTACAAAATGTTAGCTGTAGCTTTTATTCAAGTGAAGCTATAAAGATTTTTTTCCATAGCTCCTTTCAATGTGAAACAAAAATTCAAATAGTGCATTTTGTAGGATTGTTTCTGATCGGTCAGTTGATATATAAATAAAGATCCCAAAGTTTAGTTTTGAATCGCAAGAGTGAAAATATAAAAATTTTTCATTCAAACTAATTTTTTTTTTGACTTTTCAAAGATTATTTTTCATTACTCTGCACTGGAATTTCTAAGTCTATATTCGAAAAGAGCACAAACTCATAGCTTTTGACTCATCAAAAATGTGAAACTTAGAAAAATTAGGTTTTAAAAAATCAGAAAATTCTATAAAAATTGAAATATGTCTGTATAATTTTTGAAAAATATTGCTCGATTGTTGAAAAAATCGATTATGTTAGTAAAAAAGTCATAAATACGGATTTTTATTCTAAGATTTTGGCCATTCGAACATCAGTTTCGAAAAAAAATGAACATAATTTCCAGAATTAACACAACAAGTCTGCATCAAATAGTATACTCAATCATTAAAAATAATTTTCGTCAAATTTCTGTGCTTATATTCTTTACTGTTACTTTTGAATGCTTTGATCTGTGGGTGTGGATGGAGATGTTAACGGTTCACACTCACACCCTATGGAACCAATACCGGTACAGATTTCGGGTTTAGGACACTTACTCACTAGAGCACTTGCTCGTAAAAATGCTTCGAATTAAATAGATGTCTGACAATATCCTTTAATACTAACAACAGAAAACAAACACGGCACTCTACAAAGATAATAAACGTCCGATGTATTTTAACTGATCCTTGATGTGTGTATATGGATCTTGAATTAAACTGTGTAATCGTTGGTTTAAGGATTCGTTTTGATGGCTGACTACCAGACCTATCATTAATGATATGCGAATATATATTATTTTCTTCTTTGATTAATTTATTCAGAAATGTCCATTATGTAGTATGTTTACATTGAAATGCACAGTTCAATTTTCAATTCTATGCTTCCATGTTGATATTTATTCGATGCATATAATTTTCATACACGCTACTATATTCCACAGATTAATGAGAAATGTTTTTGTTCGTCTTGAGCATCCACCAAAACGATCGATACAGTCAATTTTGTTCTGAATTCTTTCATTTACGATTAAGCAATCATTTCATTCGAGAGCAACTATCCTAATGAGCAAGTGTCCGGATTCACAGATTTCATTACTCACTATTTCTTTAATAGAAATTCTTTGTTTTATGGATAAGATAGATCTAAAGTCTTTGTTTTTCTAAAGAATATTATTAACTCACCAATCAACAAATGAAATTTTTCTATCATTTTTTAATTTATTAATTGTATGATTAATATCTATTGGTGATATTGAACCTCGATATATAATTGCAATAGACATATATTTTCCTCTTGATGGTTCAACTTTAACCATTTGATTATTTCTATGAAATAAATCTTGTGTTAATGTTTGTGTATCATTTTGTTCATGATAAGATTTTTCAATTGAATATATAGGTGCATAACTAACTAAAGGAAAATGAATACGTGGAAATGGTACAAGATTTGTTTGAAATTCAATAAAATCTATTGTATTTCCATCTTTAAAACGACTACCAGCTGTTATATTTGATATAACTTGAGATATAAGACGATTAATATTAATAAAATTTGCTTGTTTTATATTAAGTAAATTTGTACAAATATCCCATAAAGCTTCATTATCAACAATAAATACACAATCAGCATATTCTAAACCAATATGAGTATTTAATATTGTATTATATGGTTCAGTAATTATAGTTGATAATTTTGGTGATGGAAAAATAGCAAATTCAATATGTGTTTTTTTTGAATAATCAATATTTAAATTTTCCATTAGAAGAGATGTAAAACCAGAACCAGTACCTAATATGTATTCGATATAAAATGAATGTTAAACAAAAAAAAAGGATGTTCGAATATATATATATATATACCACCACCAAAACTATGAAAAATAATAAATCCTTGTAATGAATGACATTGATTAGCAATACGACGTATTTGATCAAGTACATGATTAATAAGTTCTTTTCCAATAGTAAAATAACCTCGAGCATAATTTGATGCAGCATCTTCTTTACCAGATATAATTCTATCAGGATGAAATAATTGTCTATATGTACCAGTACGTACTTCATCAAGAACAGTTGTTTCTAAATCAATATAAAGCATTCGTGGTGTATATTTATATCCAATATCTTCAAAAAATGTTAATATTGATTGATCAGATTTATTTATTGAACAATTCAATGATAATAAAGTTCCATCAGGTTGAATACCATGTTCAAGACAAAATAATTCCCAACAAGCATGACCTATTTGACAACCAGCTTGACCAACATGTAGACATATGATTTCTTTCATATGAAAAAAAAAAAAACAAACAAACAAACAAAAGAATAGTTATGAAAATAAAAATAAAATAATCATATTCGCGCTTCCATATATCCCCAACATTATAAAATAATGTATTCAGAAGAATATGCAAGTGAATAGATAAACAACTAGACATAGACAAAAACAACTTTTTTTGTTTTTTAATTGGAATCGTCCATATCAAATACATGATGTTCGGAAAGTCGTTTGGTTTAAAGAAATTTTTGAACGATAATTTAATCCTTTATAGAAAAATTTTATTGTCTCTCATGAAAATACTGCCGATTCCAATATTTTTGTAACTTAACCCTTTACTCCCCGTAGAGATTCCAGAAGAGCCACTGATAAAATAATTTTATAAATAAAGTATTAGCTTCCCTAATATGCCAATGATATGGTCTGATTCACCGAATGTCCTGCTCCTAGGATAGGATGGCTCGATAGATTCAGCGATCATGTGGTGGAAAAAGAGAATTGACCAACATCATGAAACTTGAGTTTTTTTCTTTGACTATACTATTGAGTGGGTAGAAGCAACATATATCCCGTGCTTTAGAAATAATAGGAAGAGAAACAGTTGTGAACCGATAAAAATTAATACCAAAGAATGCATGCGTCTTTTTACATGTGTCGTCAAATGAGAGTCTTTTTTGCTCTGAACCATTTTATGATCTCAGAAGAAATTTAATTCATAATAAATATTATTTCAACTTATCATGAGTTGAAGTTTATAATGCATATATTAACTTTGTTCTTGATTGTTCTCCATCTGCTCAATAGTGTGTTTGAGCATGTGTAATTCGTTAAGTTATCGTGAAACTTTTAAAATTTTTTTTATTCATTAGTGAACTTCTTCATCAATTAGTATCGCACAGAAATTCCAAAAGATCTCTATTGTCTATGGATATAGAATATTTTATTTGAAAATTATCGATTTTGAAGGTCCGATATTTCAAAGATGGAGCAATGAAAAAAAATACTCTTTTTACCAATTGATGGTCCATGATGTTTACTACGAAAAGGATTCTTATTGTTTTTGAATCCGACGCTTCCTTTTGTTTTCTGCAATGTTTTTAAAAATAACAATTCCAGTTGCCAATGGGGGTGGGGGGGGGGGGGAGAGTAAAGGGTTAAGTAGATAATATCAAGCCGGAAGGCAAACAGTGAACTTTAAGACTGAAATCTCTACGGTTTTTTCTAGCATAAAGCAAAATAAGACAAGAAATGATGCATATGATGACGAATGGATTAATAAAAATTAGTGAATCTTTTAATTCTGATGATAATGTTTCATAAGAACTCATGAAAAAATAATCGATGATCTAAAAATTCATCTGCGTGTTATATCAGATAATTTGTTATTAAATAAAATTTCACTTGTTCTTAGCATAAAACAATGATTTTGAATTCATTCAATGCATGTCCTAAATGTATTAACAACTGAATAATGAATATTTCTAAGAGTAAGACAGTAATTTATTCAGTCTAATGTGTTCAAGTTTCTAAAATAAAGTTGTTTGATCGATTTCCTCATTTTTCATAATAAATAACGTTTCAAAAAAAACAAAAATTAGTAATCTCCTTAAGATTTTAAAATGAGAAGCTTACTTTTTTTTTGTCTCGATAAAAAGGACCTGTTGTTTCAAAATTTTGATGACTATAGTAAAAAATTTTTTCATTAAACAGCGTTTATATTGAGTGTAGTCATTGCCAGGATTGACATATTCTTTTTTGTATTTTAAAGAACTATGGAAACTAATCATGTTAATAAAAAAAATGAACCTTAAGGACAAAACATAATTTCCGGGGAAAAAAAAAACATTCTAGTGAGCGTCTTCTACGCAACAAATAATTTTTAAATTTACAAAACATAACAATTTCACAATATATTCAATATTTTATAAAATACTTTTTCTATTTTTATCATGATTTTTTTCTTTTCTATTAACAACAATGAAATATAGTATTTTGTTATTCTATTAATAGATTATTATTTTTATTGAACAACATTGCAAAATTATCAATGTCTATTTTTCTTTCATAAATTTTTCTTTATGTTAGTTAACTATGAAATATATGATGTAGTGATTGGTTGGTTTTTATTTAATTTAGAAAAATAATGTTAACTCATAACGGTTGACGTAGTTATCAACATGTATGTCATAAATAATTCTAAAAATAAATATTTTCAATTTATTGATTTATGACAATGCAAAAATATTTTTTTTATTGTAAAAAAAATTTCACTTTTAGAAAAATAAGTTTTTATTGTATATATGAGTTCATGTGTTTGATACGTATAAAAATTACTTTTACTATTTTTTTTCTGTCTAGTTCAGATAACAACCGTCTTCAAAACCATAGACTCATTCATTTCTCCTTTTTTTTTTCTTCTTTGCTATATGTCATATAAACGATGCCTTATATTTTTTTTTTACTTTTCTCGTTACTCATATTGAGAGATGTAAAATGCTTGTGTAATCTTCTAAGATGAAACCAAAAAAAAAAAAAAAACTAACATCGTATACGTCGATTTTTTCTTCTTTTTATTCTCTCGCATAATTTTGCTCACTACAAAACATAAAAACATAGTGTTTTTCTTTTTTTTTTTAAGATGAATATGTTTGTCATTGTTGTTTTCTGTTTTCTCATTATTTCTATACATGGTAATTTTACTATTATTCGTAAAATTCCACCAACATATATTTACTCAACTGCAAATCAATTTATTATTGAAAGTAAAAATTAAACAAATTCAAGGTCTAAGAAAACGATATAAAATAATGTAGAATCAATTCTATTACATTGACAATTTTTGTAATCCTATAGAAAGGTGTAAATAGGGGAAAGAAACGAGGGTTCATAAAGTAGAATGAGAGATTATGGCGAAATGTATTAATATACCATTTTATAACTATTTCCGATGATCGAAATCTTTATCTTTACTTTTATTTATCTAGTTGATCAAAATGTCACTCAACCTCCATTCGAAGCATTCATTCATTTTTACGATGCAAGATCAAATACGTCAATTGATAAAATTGATGTGCATTTAAATACAACTAATGTAACATATTCTGATAAAACCTTTACATTTTATTTGCCTGATTCTATTAAACTTAATACCAGTGTTAAATTTTATATAACATTCGATCAAGGTGTCTTATTTTCTAACCCTACATTGAATTCAACTGCTCGAAATGATTCAGATTTTTGGTATTTACAAGTTATCGATTCTGAAACAAGTACTACTTTATTAGAATATACATCAATGGAAACTGCTTCTTCAATGCATTATAGTGATACTAGTACAATTATTATGACAACAATAATAACTACAAATAATTCAATAAATCCAACAACAACAACAACAACAACAACTATTAGTTCGAGAGGAATAATCAAAGGTATGATGTAAATCTTTCTTTTTTTTTGTATAGAAAAAAATAAATAAAATATTTTGTATTTAGGTGAATCACCACCAACTCGTTCAGCACAATTGGGTATGGGTTTAGGTATAACATTTATTACAGTAATAATCGTTGGTGAAATAATATTTTTTAAATATTGTTATAATGGTAGTGGACGAAGTGGTAATTATTTTATATAAAAACATCAACTGACTTATGAACATTTACTTTGCATATATATATATATATACAGACTACTTATCATTTGTGATTACAATCGAGAATATTTTTTTTTTTGTTTTTATTAATATAGAAAGTGAATATTAATATTTTTATTTCATTCATGCATAACTCGAAGACACTATGATCTATATTTATTTTTGGCTATTATTTAATTGCTAAATAATTTTAAATAAAAGTTAAGTGAAAAATTAAATTTTTGCTCAGTAATTTTTTGAAAAAAATATTTTTGCAAGTTTTATTTAAATTCTAAGTAAAATATTGTAAATCTCTAGGTAAATATATAATTTTTGTTAAGTAAATTGACATGAATATCTAAGCAAAAAAAAGTTAATTGTATTAATAGAGCTTTTGTTGCTTTTCGTGATCGTCCTCGTTTTTGTTTTTCTTGCAAAGGTGTATATCCTTTGCTGATGAAGGTGGTTTACACAACTTCAATCTAATAGCCATACCAATAATATGTTTACAAATGTATTCTTTGAAGAAGCTTGGACCATTGCAAAGTCTGCTTTTCCATTCCGTTGCATTGTCTGATAAAGTTACTCTTCATATGCTAAATTGAAAATCTTTAAATTGATCAAATGACATCTTTTTGTATATCTGTATTTTATTTGTTGTAACATTTTGTGCTTCACCAGTTGGTAAGTAAAACCTTTTCTTTTCGATGATATTTGTAATATTGATTTTGATGATTTTACAAAAATGATATATGCATTAGTCTACTTTTGTAATGTAATTGTTAGTTCTGTTGACTCCATTTCTTCATAAAAAACGACGATACATTATTAATGATTGTTTCCAATTCGCACAATTGTAACTTGTCAATATCATCTAATATCTCCTATTTTGCATCATTACTTTCAATATTGCTTAATTTTTTATTCACATATCGACGCATATGTGCTCAGCACATCACCATTTTATTATTGTTAAACATTTTCTTAAAATGCATTCCGTATAACACCAGAACCATCAGCTATCAGAACTTCAGGCATGAATCTAGAATGAATTATTTTCTCAACACCATGGAAAATGCTTTAGAAGATAAACTCGAAATCTTGATGTTATTGTTCATCACTATACACTACCAATCCAAGTGGATGCAACTTTCGATTAGAATCACTTGCTCCTACTATTAATAGAGGAAACCCTGCCAGTTCAATTTATAAGTAGCACCAGCATGTAACCGTGTTGAAGTAGAAGTAATTTGCAATAATCTTTTCGTTGATATAAAAAATCAAAATTTATTGCCATTATCTACACTACGTCTTGTTATCATCAATATCATCTGCATAATAAACATAATATGAAAGAATAAATGGTTCATTCGTCAGATTGTGGTACTGTAGATTTTTCAGCACATAAAGATTCTAACTGTCCCAAGCTTAATGTCGAAAGACAAAATTTCTTTTGATGCAATTGTGTTTTTCTTGTTTAATTGCCATTTGAGTTTCGTTATCATCAGAAAAGATTTTGTCTTTAATCCAATGAAGATTACATTGAGCTATCTTTTTCTTTGCTTGGATATCTTGTTGATCGATTTTTATTTCATCATTCGATTCCGATGAACTCTTATATGATTTATTAATTCAAAATAAATTTTTAGTGACGCACATATATATATAAATGAGAGGGCGTAAGAACTCACTAGAAAGTGCCAAACAGCAAAGAATTATCGAGAAAACAATGCAGATCATATGTAAAAGAAAGAACAAGAGAAAAACAGAAATCATTGTACCTCGAAGAAAATATGCACCTATTCACATATAACCTCAGAACGAAAAAAGATATAGGTGGAATGCGCATATATCACGAAACTAGTTTAATGTTGATAGAAGGAAAGCAAAGAGAGAAAATGTATGTGCCATACCATCATAAAAAATTCCTCTTATCTCAGATAATTGTACTTTGCTTTTCTTCGAAATTACTTAGTAATTATAATTTTTACTTAGCAAACAATTTGTAGCCTTTATTTTTTTGTATATATATAAGTTTAGATTTAATATCTGAATACAATATACAAAATTTTATTTTCATTATATTCGATTTTTAGTTTTGAATAAAAAGAAGTTTAGATCATAATCAGAGAAAAGATATGTTGCGAGTTGTTGTTTTTTTAATACTTCTTTGACATACATGTGCATTCTATTTCTTTCACGAGGGAATGTTTCCAATTGCTTTTTACTCGAGACTATTACCATTCGATTAGTCATGATGATTGGTGAAAAAAAAGTCTGTTTTGATTTGATTTTTTGGCGTTCACTGATCGAGGTATGGGCATTTTACTCACTATAGTAACATCGCAAAGTGTTTGAACTAGGATTGATAAAGAAATTGAAGAAAGAAAAAAAGTCATAGGGATACATTCTTTATTGTTCGTATAGAAAACTTGCTAGATCTTATTTATTTGTTTTGTATACAAAATAAAATTAGACACTAAAATGTGTCTTTTATAATCATCAATAATTAATTTGTTTTGATATAAAAAAAAAGAAACACTATTAATCATATTTCGCAATTTTTGTTTTTTGTAAAATAATTAGTTAATATTGAGACATGTTGATGAAGAAAATATGACACGGATATTATCATTACTTTTTGATTGACGACAATTTTTTTTTCACACCTACAATATCATACTATTATTTGTCTTTCTTCGTTTCTCTTTTTTGCATATACATAAGTTATTAAACAACGTAATTATTGACATTACATGGAACTTTTACTCGGTGCAGCTGTTGTTGGTTTAGGTGTCTATGCGTATAGAAAACATAGGGAACGTCGTGCAATAGCAAATGCATATATAACATATGATTACAAATACTATAAACCACAATATGGGTATTTGTATTATGGTAATGCAGCCAATCGTTATAGAGCTTTACCTTATCCTTATTATAAAACTGGTTATTACAATATTCCATACGGATATTAGAAATTTACCAATAATGACTACATAGTACGATCGTTATTATTTTTGAAAAAAAAAATAATTATCGGTTGATTTTTATTTTTCGATTGACAAATCAATAAAATATATTCGACACAAAATCGATCATAATGAATGAAACTAAATATAATTATTCTTATTGAACTGAAACAGAGAAGATAATGGATAAGACAAATATTCTACGTTATTGTTTTTTTATTTCGAATAACTCTAGAACCAAAAATGATAAAGACCTGCAATTTTCACAATCCGCAAGAGAATATACAGGTCATAATCTGAAAACATTTTTCGTTAGACTTCTATTTACAATTTAACTATTTGGTAAAGAATGAGTTATAAGAATTTCTCAGGAATTCTCGATTTCGTCCAAATGACCTTAGATCGATATGAGAAAAGGTCAAGACAGAGGTAATTCAGTATGTTGACTTCACTGTTAATATTTGTTTTTATTTTTGAAGCAAACTTCAACCACTATCATAAGACTTTCGAATTTTGTCTCTTGATAGTGTATGATCCATATTTGAAAGATCTTCATATAATGGCTGCAGATCGCTCCAAAATTAAAAGCAAACATCAACAATGAAATCAAAATACTGTAACTCATGAACGAAGAACATAAATAAGCTTGTCCTTGCGGCTTAGATTGAAAAAGCGACAATTTTCTCAATCGAATAGTCAAATTGTAAATAAAAGTCTAATGAAAAATCTTTTCAGAATATGGTCTGTATGTTCTCTTGTGAATGATAAACATTGCAGATCTCTATCACTTTGAGTTCTAGAATTATTCGAAAAACGTCTTACGTACATTCCTTTTTGAAATGAACACTAGTACAGAACACTCATGTATTTTTAATTGCTTGAATAGCCACTGGAATTTCATATAGTGACTCTTCTGGAACCATTGTGGGGGATAAAGGGTCAATATCACATGAACAGCTGAAAAAACATCGAAAGTCAATAAAAAAAAAAATTTTTGCCCAAGTTGCGAAGGAATTTCTCAATACTTTTTTGTTCTAAGGTCTTTGTCGCTTATGAAAAATATTTCCGATCAAATTCTTTTATATACTTTTGCTCTGAACATTTATATCATTTCAATTCAACGAAATGTTTTCAATAGTTGTTTTTTTTTTTTTGACTTGATGGTAATAAAATAAAATCTTGACATTGAAAATTAACTTTTACCATTTGTGTAATATTATTCAAATTAAAACATTATCCATGATAATATTGTGTAGATTCTTTAAATTCAATATTTATATTTTGTAAATAAAATTCATTAATATCTAAAGCAAAAATTCCATCAACTTTTGTTCAACTCATTTGTGATGGATGTTCAGTTACATTACTTCATCTTACTTTTAGCAATTATATATTTCGAAAAGTAACATTTTTTAATATTCCTGTCCATTGTCCTTCGACACTCATCGAAAGACCTATTACATATATTGATTCATCTGTACCCCACCAAAAAACATCGTATTTCTATATAAATTTATTCAAATAAAAGATTTGATGTTATACCTGTTCCCCAACGTGGTGCTACACATAAACTATGATTTGTATCTATTACACGTATGTTACGAAATATCATATTATACATATCACCAGTAGAATTTGCTTCAAAATCATTTACTTTAATAGCAGCTGAAGTACTATGTAAATCCATATTTTCAATAGTTATATTATACATAGATGATGAACCTAGGGTGTGGGTGTAGGCGGCTATAGGAGTGGATATTCTTTTCACACCTAACCCACACTTTGTGCACCAGCATCAATATGACCTTCACCTTCAAGATAAATATTATGTACATGATTAATAAGTAAAAATGGATAATCACATGAAGCTGTATCACTTGTCTTACTTGAAATACATGGATATAAACTTGCATTATCAGATGCACATAAAATAGCATTACGAGCTAAATGAAATTTCTAATGAATCTGTTAGAAAATCATCAGCTGGTATAAGAACAATATTAGTTGCTCGAAAAAATCTATATCGAATAGATTGAGTATTATCAATAATACCTTCACCAATAGCATCATTGTCCAAAATATTAAATACAACAATTTGTTCAGGTATGATTAAATGAAAAAAGCAAAATAATATTTGATATCGAAAAAGACCTCAACATATTTTCGTGTTTTTTTTTATAGAAAAAAGTATCGTAATGATAAGAAGTTAAGATATGAAAAAATGTTTAGTGTTCTGTCATAGATAGATCAAATACATTACTTTCTTTTACAAATAAAGAAGATAAATTTGAAACATTTTCAAAGGCTTAACCCCTTATGGGAGAACCAGGTTATTTTTAAGAAAACAAAAGAGACTTTTAAAATGTTGATGGGATATATTTGCTCACATTCCCCATAGGTTAGAAATTATGAACAAATCTTTGAAAGATCCAAAAATAAAGTTTGGACGAGTTCCAATGGACAAAAAGCTATTTAAGGTAGAAGTAAAATTTATTACAAAATACATTAAAAGAAAGAACAAATTTTTATCGAAATTTTGTTATTTTAAAATTTATATTCTTGAATATATATTGCATATAATGCGAAACACATAGTTCTATAGAGACTAATAAAAGATATAAAAGTCTTCGAAAAAATATCAATATAACATTGTTCAATAAAGAAGAAAAAACTCGACTTGAAAGATTATCATTCATTTTCCAAAAATATTTATCTTTTTACGCATGGGTTTGATTCGAAATCACAAATTCATCGATCAAAAATATGAAAAAAGATAAAATTGCAAACACATTTCTCTTTTAACAATTTATTTACGCTCTTGCTTTAATATATATATAAATGTACATTAAATAAATAGTTCTGGGAGGATAAATTTTCAATAATGTGCCTTCATCCACTGATTTCAGATGTTAGATGATCCGCGAAAATTGTTTTTTTTTATGACACACGGTCTAAAAGAAGTGTATAGAAGTATAGAAAGAGTAGGAACTTGTATTTTCCTTCTCCTGCACACTATGATAGATATTACCATGGAAATGTCACAGACCATTGCATACACGTTAGACGCAGCTTATTTATTACGTTTCTGAAGTATTAAATAAGAAAATACCCAAGCAGACAAAAATTTTGAAAAATGCGTTTGAACGCAGCACAATCAGGAACCGCGACTGTGATCCATTCACGCTCATTAAAAAAACGCATGAAACGACGTTTTTTGTGCAAAATAGTCACTTTTGGAACGTGAAAAAGTTGAAAAATTGAAGAACGGAGCGGCTAAACGCGTTATTTCTAAACTTCAGAGAAAAAGAACGTTTTAACACAAAAAACATCGTTTCGTATGTTTTTTTAATGAGCGTGAATGGATCACAGTCGCGGTTCCCGATTGCGCGTTTAAACGTATTTTTCAAAGTTTTTGTCTACTTGGGTAGTGAAGAAATATGTTCTAAAATAGATAGAATAAAACGATAGCTACACGTGTTTTACATTTTAATCCAGCATGGACTGCGCTAACAGGTTTTTTTTCTTTATGACCATTGTCTCTTTTCTCATTGAGATTCATTGATATATCCAATTAAAATCAGATTTAATCATTCTATGTGTTCTTATCAATTTTTAGGTTTTGAATAACTTAATTATGAATTGATTCAATTATAATTCATAATATTCTGCATATACACACATATATATATATCAATTTCAATATAAATTTATTTCATTTGTTTACTAACTGTACTTATTTAAAATAAAAATTCTATAATCACTATACAATACAATGGATAGTAAAAACAAAATAATATTCTAAAGGATAAAAAAGAAATCAGGGAAAAATAAATGAGTAAAAAATTGAATTAGATTTATTTATTCATCGTCTTTTCCACGTTTGATTAGTTTTGTAAATGCTGCATAATCAAGTTGACCTTTGTTATCAATTGGTGCACCTTCAAGCATTTGAGTGAACTATAACACATGTAAAATAAAAATAAAAAAGAGCAACTTCAATTTATATTCATATACATTACCTCGACATCAGTTAGTCTTTCATTAGGACGACCTTCAGCAGTTAATAATTCTCGAAAACTAAGAAAAAAGATAAATTTCTCATTCAACCAAAAAAAATGAATCTACCTGTCACGATTAAGAAAACCTTTTCCTTCCTCATCAAATGCCTTAAAACCATGCATTAAAATATCTTCTGCATCTGTACCTAAAAATATAAAAGAGAAAAAAAACCCCATTGATCAAAATCATATATTTCGTTTTTTTTTTTATGAAAAATATTTCAAACCATGAAGTCGATCACCAAACATTTGTAATAATTTCGTAAAATTAACAGGTCCACCAGTTTCTTCAAGCATCTGTTTAAGTTCTGTATCTTTTGGTGATTTACCCAATGATGCATAAACTTCTTTAAGATCATCTAATGATATTGTTCCATCTCGATCTTGATCCATTAAACCAAAAGCTTCTTTAAATTCTTGTACTTGTTTTTGATCAAACATAGTAAAGACATTACTTGTAGCTCGTTGAGCTGCTTTTTTAGCTTTTTTCTAAAAAAAAAAAAAACAAAAGAAATTTACCAAAATAATAAAAAAAAGTCAGCAAAACCTTACATCAGCCATTAAATACAATTATTCTTCCTATATGTTGATGTCGAGTGTTATTTTCCTAGTATATAGTGACTATTCGATGTAGAAGAGATGGAATAAGAACAAAGAGAAAATCTTGTGATCTTTTCTCATGATGGAAAAGATCACTACATCGTAGGCGCATATGTTGATTTTTTTTTTTGGCTTGATATAAAGATAGTATAGATAGAAGAGAAAAAGGTGACTGACGGACTGATTGATTTGTCGGTTATTGCGATTATATGTATCCTGCGGAGAAACTATCTTTTTTCTTTCTATATCAACATAACATCTGCCAATGAAAAACATCTAGAAAGATAAATGAATAAGACTAGTGCATAAATAGAATCAACAAAACTTATTCTTAAAACTGAAAACAAAAAAAGAATTTATTTTCAATATCAATGACAAATTTATTAGAAGAAATATTTCTTGATTCAAAATTATATAATAATAAATAGACTCTATTAATTTTTACAATAGATATCAACATAATATTATTATTTTATCTAAAACTAATTTTTAGAAAATTACTGAAAAGATTATTTTCTGATAGACAACTTGATATATTCTATAATTTAAGCAGATCAAAAAGCGATTTATTACTTTGGAAAATTGATTTTCTAAAAAAAACTAGTATATGAAAGTTTAACAGAATTCCTCATACTCATACTCAGAATCAGTATGGTCAATAACCAACTATTCAATCATTTTTGATGAGAAATCGATTGATCATTTGAAGCCATTTCCTCACAAGAAAAACAATGTAGGTATTATCGATGCATAACGAAAGAAAAATAATGCGAAGATATTCATAAAGATTTTTCTTTCTTTTACAATGACAAACAAGAATAAACATATGCGAGATGTTATTAACTAAAAGTCAACCATTTTTATTGTTGAAATATATATAAATTCGAGAGTTAAAAAACAGAAACTTTCGTTTTTATTTTTTTCTATATTTATCATTCTTGATGTTGATAAGATATAATTTATATCATTATTGTAGTATCTATATTGTAAGCTTAAAATAATTAATTTAATGTTTACACAGAAGAAACTGAAAGCAATGAATCGAACGGAATATTTATCACTAATCATTGTCGTAGTTTTTGAAAACACAAAGGAATTATACAAGAATAATTTATTTATGAATAAATATTATTTGAATAAGAATAAAAAATTTGTCTTAATATAATAAATAATCAGCAAAATAAAATATCAATAATATTAAATGTAATTATTTGTTTTATTCAATTTTTAGATCATCAAGTAATAAACTAACTAAAACTATAGAAGTTTTCTTGTTTTTATGTATTGTATTAGTTAAATATACTATTATAAATCTATCTATAATGGATAAAAATTTATTGAACATTTTTATATTTAAATAATGAAAAAAAAACACACTAAAAAAATGCTCATATTTTAGTGAATTTTTGGTTATTCTTTTATGCATATATGCTTCAAATATGCTAATAATAATAGTTGAAAATGTTTTTGCATCCATTTAAGACTGTATTGATCAATTAAACGAGAGTTATCAATTTTGGACCTACAATATCCGCGCCATTAAGAACTACATGCGCAACAGACAGAATAACAAAGATAAGTTTTTTTTTGTTTGACTCTACTGAATTTTTGTCATCGAAATGGTTGAGTGTGAATGTGGATGTGAATGAATAGAAGATTCAGTCTGATACCGACATCTACACCCTGTTTATGATAATACAGTCAATCATGAGCCATCATGCTTGATTTCTGTTATATAATCACTTATCTAGACAATACCCAGAAACTGAGCAATTTAGAACCTTTTGAAATGTATTTCAATCATTTGAGTTTCAAAATAGGCTTTGGAATGTTCTGATATATTCTAAATCTGACTTTTAGTGTCATTTAGAACTTCTTTCGATTCCTAAGAGACTTTGAAAACAGGTTCGGTTGCTTTTTGTTTCCAACTGTTTCAAGAGGATTAAAAATCAATGATATTTAGTCTTGGATCTCGGTTACTGATGTTTGTCATAGAGAAAACATCGCAAAATCTCAACTGAAAAATTTTATTCAGAGTAGGAAGTGATAGGAGTTCTTCCTTATCGGTATATGTTTTGTTAGAAACAGTCAGATCAGATTAGACTACTGGTATACCGGCATAAGTCACTCTTTGTTTTTTTGAGCTTGTAAGAGTATGAATATGTCTTCTTTCTACCGACACTTACATTCTCTAGTATATGAATACCGATAGCTTTTATTACTTGTTTGTTTGATAAAATAAGATCAGTATTGATCAATGCTGTTGTTGGTTTTTTTTTGTGTTCGAATTGTTTTATATTCAAGTATTCTTATTGTTGAATCAAAAGAAAGATGAAAGATGAATATGAATATTTATTTTTAATTTATGAAAATCATATAGTTTAAATAGAGTATATGATTTACATATAGTGGTTCTTTGTATACATGTTACTTTTATAAGATTTTGATGAACAAATTGTGGATAACTGTTTGTCTATGTTATTTCTATTTGTTTTAAACTCTCTCATGATTGTTTCTTATGAATATAGAAACTTTCGAGAATACGAATTACTAATCGAAATTTAATATTTTATAGACCGATAAATCAGAATAAACATCAGATGTTTTATAATATTCATTAATCAAATTAATAGATTCTTTTCCAATAAAATGAAATGACGTATCGAGAATATAGATGTTGGTGTAATGTATGTGAGTTCTAGCGATAGGCTTCTCTTTACCTATACATCACACCTACATATCTTGATTAAAGTCTCACACGATTGTATTTTCAAAGTTGAATAAGAAGCGAATTTTATCATACTTATCATCATATTGCCTTAGATTTACAAAACAGTTAGAACTTCATTCTCTTGTTTTGGAATAAGTAAATATGTTTTCGATTATTATTTTACGGCGCACTATAAATCAGTGACTCAACAAAATTATATTTTAATAGCCGTACTATTTATTTTAAGAGACCATTCATAATACTTCTGCACACAATTACAATATACTTAATATTGTGTACTCATCTAAGTATATGAAGAGGCAAGCAATTAAAGTTTTTTCATTTATCGAACAACATTAACAAAATTTGTTAAACATTTTGTTAAAAGTAACGACTCGATCTAGCAATTATTTGATACCTTATAAATATCGGCAATTGCAAATGTCTTTATACTTGCCTCTATTTCTTCGATTCATTTTTCTTAAATTTATATAATTCATTTGTATAGTTTATCGAAGCAAGAAATGTATCGAATTAATGGAGTAAAGTCACCAAGATTGATCGAAGCAAATTTGACAGATATTAAATCTATATCGAGTAAAATATCGCGAGAAAGGTTGGTTTGATATTACAAATGTTCAAATGAGTATATCTGAAATATTTTTGTATATATTTTAGAAGATTTAGATCACAAAGATCTGCAGCCATTTTATGGATTCTTAGTGGCTGTTGTTTAGGTGCCATTCTAACAGCTGCACTTTCGATACCGTTGACACTAGCCCTGATGAACTGTAACAAAGAATCGGCTACTAATACGACCACAACGACGAGTCCTGGAGGTTAGGTATCATTCAGAAAATTGAAATATGATCGGAAATACTTAGGTCATTCCAAAAGTAGTGGCGGAGGTATATCAATTCCTTATAGAAAGCTCGACGAAACCTTTTTTCTATACATTCTAATAGAGAAAAGAAAGGTCTATTTTTCTATGCTATTTGATCATACTTTAACTAATGTCATGATAATAAATTTTTGATAAGATTTTTTTCGTTAACATATTTGCTCGTTGTATTAGCTCACAGTGAATCAGACGGGTTAGTTTTGTAGTCCACTAATATATTGTATTAACAACCAAATATGCCATAAGGTGCAGCGTGAAAAGCTCTACAATTTTCATAAGACCACTTATGTTTTAGTTGCACTTTTTGTTTTCAAAATTGATAAAGTTTTGAGTGATCAAACTTTGGCCATTGTAAAAATTGATCGCGTAGAATTTTCCTTTTTTTTCAAAACAATTACAATAAACTTTATGATGTAGATTGTAGAGCTTTTCATACTGCATCTTCTGGTGTATTTTGTTTTTCTTTTGATAAAGCATATCAGGTGATATAGTGATCAGATAACAAGAAATGAATTCGTCGTGTATCAAAAACATTATCTTTTTCCATGATCGAAATTTGACCGCTCAAAATTTAGTCTATTTTAAGAACAAAATGTGCAACTAGAAAATAAGTGGTCTTATGGAAATTGTAGAGCTTTTCACGCTGCATCTTATGGCATATTTTAGTTGTTAATACAACTAATAAGGAATTGAAAACTGCAATGTACAATTTACAACAAGCAAACATGTTAACGAAAAACATCTTATCAAAAATTTATTATCATGACATTAGTCAAAGTATGATCAAATAGCATAGAAAAATAGACTTTTCTTTTCTCTACTAGACTGTATAGAAAAAAAAGTTTCGCCGAGCTTTCTATAAGGAATTGATATACCTCCGCCACTACTTTTGGAAGGACCTAAGTAGTGCCTTGAATTACACGTTCATCAGACATAGAACTGTTCGCTATAGACTTACACCACCTATGTTGACTTTAAAATAAAAAAAAAAGCGAGATTAAACTTGAGAATATTCATTTATATTTGCAAGATCAAAGTATTCAAATTAAACTTTGTTTGATAGATGTTGCATCGAGATTCTACCAATCTTGAAAATGCAATGAAAAAATAAAGTTCTTTACAAAAATTACCATAGTATTTACATCCATTCATGGGTCTATTTATTTTGTGTTTTTAAACAAGATCGCCAAGCGTGACAAACAATTCTACAACCATCACAAATACAGATCATTCTTAGTACTATCTAGATGAATATCATGAACGAGATTTCTAAGAGAGATTCTAAACCTATAATCGATTTGTTGCATGTATAGTTAGCAGAAAAAAAAAATTTTTTTCAATTTTCAATTT